AAATGAGATGTATACTCGCACGGTAGGAAAACGCTGGCGCCGGTCGTCATGTTTACTGCCAAAATGGTGGCTGATAACCAAAAGTCACGTGACCGCAGGAGCTCTATAGAGGCGTACACACGGAGCCGTTTGACCCCCCAGAGCGTTCCGTTTGCAGATCTGTCCACCTTGGGACCCGTTATCGTTTGCGGGGTCCGTTTCTATCGTTTTGTTATGGCCTCGTGTAAACGAAAGGGCTATACGCAAGAGAAACTATGCAGACACAACCCGTTTCGTCCTCGTGTAAACGGGGTCCCAGTTTTCACGAGGACGATACGGGTTGTTTCGGTGAGTAAACGCAAACGTTCCCGTGTAAATGGGGTCTGAGTGTCTGAGCAAGATAACATGACTCCTTATTGATCCATGAGGGGGAGTAGGGCCATGACAAGTGTCCATATCTTTTAAAAGAATATGAAAGTACAGAAAATACAGGAAACACCAAGATGCCTACAGTATAAAATAATAATAATCTGAAGAAAAAAAGTGTCCTATTCACTGTGTATGTGCATTGAGTTGTAGTAAAAATAATATTCATCCCTCAAATATGATTTTCTTCATTTGTTTATGTACAAATATAGAGATTATGATGGTGTGCAATGAGAGAAGAGATGAAGTGAATGGAAATGGCAGCAGTGATGTTTTGATGTTGGTTGGTTTGAAGGATACAGGGAGAGAGGACATNCGTTAAAGTTTAAATCTTCCGGACAAAATTAGAAAAGTGCCGCTCAGAGGTCTTCTTTGTTATTTATTGAGCTTTAAAACAAATATAGAGTCGTTATCAATTTGTTTTAAAGCTCAATAAATAACAAAGAAGACCTCTGAGCGGCACTTTTCTAATTTTGTCCGGAAGATTTAAACTTTAACGGATTGACCGGCGAAAAAAAATGTTAACTGAAACTCTGCCGCGCGGTTCCCTCGTCCCTTGGAAGAGGCGGAGAGGTGGGTGTTTTTCATCTGCTGGTGGTCTACCGGAGAGATTTACAGCAGGAGCACACGCCGTCCACCGTGGAGAATAAACAGAAAGGCAACCATGGCTCCGGGGTCTTCTTCGCTGCTTTTAGTTTATTTTGTAGCGGCAGCAGCGCCACTTACAGCCCCGGCATATGTACTACAGCGTTTCCAGCGGGTCGAGCGGTCTCATGTGAACGGACACGTTAATTGAGCCGAATGCGTGTGAACTGAAAACTTTTTTGAAAACGCATAACGCAAACGTTCCCGTGTAAATGGGGTCTAAGATTGTAACCATTTAGCATGAAGTTGCATTAAAAGACAGAAAAAATGTATCATTATCACAAGGTAGATTCCATTAATGCTTCTTCATGGTGGATAGAAAGCTACAGGTTTGACTTAATATAAGGAATCTAGTGTGCAAATTAATATTTTATGGATGAAAACCAGAATCCTCTGAGTCTGAATTATGGCCATGCACTGTGCAAACACGCTTTATCATGCAGGGAAGCCTTTTCCAAAGTAATTTACTCCTTCAACCATGGAAACAACATAAACAAAAAAGATACCCCTCCCCTGCCCCTCCTAAAAATGATATATCGCCCGGGGGTTATGGGACTGTTTGTAAAAAGGAGAAGCCAATTAAGGAAGCAGAGGAAGGTGTTTGTTTTGATAGATACAAACACTCAGCCTCATTAGCTCCAAACTTTTAAGGAACAACATGTTTTTCCCCCGAGGAGCGAACAGGAAGTCTGCAGATTCACTCGGTCGCACCGCCAATGATCGACATTTTACCGTCAAAAAATATATAGTTTAAATACTTTAATGATGGTTGGTGGAAAGTATCTTTGCATGTGAGACAGTATCTGATTGCACAGGGCTGAAATCCTAAGTCATTTATTATAGGCCCATTACATGCTAACAGTGACAAATATATTCTGAACAGTAAAGCACAAAACATGCATTCTCAAATATTGAAGTAACAGTTACATAATGTATTAACCGTGAAAGCACTCAATATATATTTATTTGATTTTATTGTTTTAAATGATAGACAGTATAAGTGCATACTTTATACAATTTGTAGCAAATATATAGTTTTCACACTGCCCATACAAGCTGAGCTCACAAATACTGACAATGGCTCTGCTGCCCCCTTGTGGACAGACATGTGTAATGACACCTTCACACAGACCTTAACAATCTTACATTTTGTTTTTCTTCATGGTGGTATTGCAGTACTGTGTGTGAGGGTACATCCATATAGCAAACTATTTCAATTCTGTGATTAATACTTGTTTAGATAATATGTCACCAAATAATTATGCACAACTATTTTAATGATGTATTGCATTTATAGTTACAAAGACTACTGGGTTGATAGATAATGTGCTAGTTCTGCATCATATCATGCCTTTTCTTTTATGTTAAAAGTAAGTAAGGCTTGTGCAATATTTCCCTTAGAGGTTTAGCGGAGAATAAGTATACAGTCTCAGAAAATATAAATATTTGAGTGTACCTCAACATTGTACTGAAGGCAAGTTTATTTAGACAGCTTATTTCAACACAAAGCAATTCAAAACACTTTACAAAAACAATAACAGTATTAAGATATAGTGCACAGAAACACAAAGGGCATTTAAAATGACTTATTGAGTATGTACTTGGTTACCTCGCATCACTTGTAGCCAATACTAATTGAACAATTTACATTTGTTACGATGTTCTTATTTATCAGTGTTTTCAATGTGTTGTTCTCTGCTGAAACTTCCTCTGGCTCCTTCCCTGACTTCTCTTCTTCTGTCTTTACTTCCTGTTGTTGTTATTGTTGTGGGGATGTTTATTTCCTGAAGCCCTCCTGAAACGAAGGACTCAGCCATCGAGTCCCCGGACGCCCAACGCCAGGAGTGGTTCGCTCAGTACTTCTCCTTCTGATCGACCACCAACCCGCAACACACAAGGATTCAGCATGTCAACCAAACTTTGAGAAAAATGTACAGAAAAACAAGCGAAGAAGAAGAAGAAGAAAAAAAAGCGAAAAATGTTAAAACTATTTGTTCTTTATTGTCATGGAGAGATTTGGGGATCAATTGACTTTAACTTCAGCCAATTAGGACTTCATTCTCATTCATTTGCTAAAAAAACCAATGTAATTATCATCCACTTCCTGTTGACTGAAGTAGAAGTAAAGTGACCATCAAATCCCATCACTCTGATCTCATTTGATTGTTTAATTATTGATTGTTTCACTGTGGGCGAGTTTTTCTCTTAGTACAGTGACAATGATCATCCGTATGTTTGATGTTTTATTTTTTACTTTCTTTAACTTCCTAACTTATTTTGCAGTTTCTTGGAACTAGAAAAAAAATGCGTGGTGCATTATCATGCTGCTAATTGCCATTGTTGGACTACAGTGAGAAATAAATATATATAAAGAAACATATGGTAGGTTATTGTGCTCTCTCTGTACGTGGGCCCACTGCATACAGCATCTTAGAATTATAGGAGGTGTTTACGGAGACATTTACCTGGACCTGGGTCTCTGATATCGCTCCATGAATACAGGAAAGTCTTTAGGACGGCACCATCCAGTTTGTTACAGCTGCATAGAAATTTCAGCAGATTTTGGTAGAATATTAAAAACCTGTTTGTATGGTTGTCTGTCTCAACACAGATATAATGATGTCTCACCAATTTTAAAAACAAAAATAGCATATTTTATATTTATATTATAATGTGTATGCTTAATAAATAATTATTGTGACATTTACTTTGGTTTGTTCGTCATTTATTTGATTTGATTGTGGTTTACATTTCATTTAACGAAATGGAAATACAGGGTTTTGAAGTACGAAAATTAATTAAAATAAGTATACAAGGGAATATAATAAAAATTAAAAATATGTTTAAAAATAATTTATAAATATATGTTCATTCATGAAAGAGCTATATAATAATATTACAAAAATGTAATATGCACAGTGTGTTTTGTTAGCACTATTTGTATATCTTAGAGTGTATATTTTATTTGCACTAGGACCTCAATCTGTTTATACAAGTGCTCTCATATTCCTGAATATTGTATATCAAACAGACATTTCATTTATATTCTGTTAATATTTTAATCTTGATGCCATTTTTTGCCTAAAAGTGCTACATAAAAAAAAACTGATAATTAGAATAATTCCTTAAGGCCTTCAGTAAGAGAATAAAAAGCCAACAAATAAAAATAACATTAGTATAAATGGATTATAAACTGGTACCAGAGGCAGAATGCATATTTTACAATCACGTTCTAAAAGTAACCAGTAGAGTGCAGTGCCGTTTTAATACACATTGGGTGAACCGGAAAATAAACAGACCCTGAATCGGTTCCTGTGCAAGCTAAAAACACATTTGACAGGAAGTAAAGCATTGATTTATTCACCTGCAGCACTGCAAATAAATCCCACTTTTTCATGATCTGAAGCCCTGTTGTGGATGTTATAGAAGCCTCACCACTGTCAATCTCCACAACATTGGGTGAACCGGAAAATAAACAGACCCTGAATCGGTTCCTGTGCACGCTTAAAAACAAAACAAACATGGCTGCTACAGGAGCCGGTTCTCCGGGGCGGCTGGTCCAGTATGTGGTCGTCCGGACGGACCTGGTGCACCAGCTGTCCTGGCCCCTGGGAGCCGTGATCACCCAGGCCTGCCACGCCGCTACGGCCGCCATACACCTCCACTACCGGGACCCGGAGACCCAGCAGTACCTGGAGGAGCTGGACTCCATGCACAAGGTGGTGCTGGGGGTAAGCACGCCGAACTACATTCATATTTTTGGTGAATTTAATGTTTACAGTGGTTATATGGTTCATCACAAAATATATTATGATCAGTTCAATAGTGTTTGGTTAGCTGTGTTATTCGGCAACATTCATTTAACTATAAAGGGAAACTAAATTTGGTTAAAAGTGTTCAAGGTGGTGCTAGTGGTAAGCACGCCGAACTCCAATCATATGTGGGTTAATTTAGTGCGTACAGTGATTATATGGTTCATCACAAAATATTTTAAGATCAATTCAATAGTGTTTGGTTAGTTGTGTTATTCGGCAACATTAATTTAACTCTAAAGGGAAACTAATTTGACTTAAAAGTGTTATTTAGACCAGTTTGAACGAATTACACAGCAATATTCTAGTGTTATATGTTAGTGTGTACAGTTCCTCACAAAACATCCAATAGGACATTATAATCTAGTATGGTTCATTGTTTTATTCTGCAATATTCAATTTACTATAAAGGTTTTTTTTTTTTACTGATTTGAACGATGCTACACAATAAAAAAAAATGTCCACTATTTGTAACTGGTTATTGTTCAATGTCTTGTATATATTTATGTTGCATTGTTGAAGGAGACTGGGACTTCATATTTGTATTGCCTTAACTACACTGTCGTGTCCATATGACACGTGCAAAAAGTGTACAAAGTGGTGCCTCACTAACTGTAACTGTCTGTGGTTGTTTATCTCCAGGCTCCAGACGAGGCAGCCCTCTCTAATCTATCAGAGACTCTAACAAAGGCCGGTGTGGCCCACAAACTGTGGATCGAACAACCAGAGAACATCCCCACCTGCCTGGCTCTGAAGCCGTGTGCCAAAGAGACCGTCCATCCGCTGCTGCGCAAGTTCAAACTCTTCAAATGAGGGCCTTTTAAAGACTTTGTCCCACTACGCACTACAGAGCATATCAGGATCTAATTTCATCTATAAAAGGAAAACATCTGTGCTCTTTTCCTCGGTGCTTCCAAACATCTGTAATGCTGAAGATTAAAGTGGGGAAAATATGAAGTTCTTTTCTGGATTATTTTGTTCGAACCTCAACAGTGGAATTACTTCTGCAGTATTTACATTGCAACTTAATTTAGAGAGATACAACAATTCCATGTTTTTACACAGCGCACTACATACAGTTTGTGGACCTGCATTACCTCCAATCCCTCCTTTTTGATCATTGCTCAAATGCAATAATCTTGAAAACAGTCTTGGTTGTGTTGTAAAAAAATATATACAATCTTACTTAGTTTTAGTTAAGGGAACAAACTCTAAGGTCACTCTAAGGAACAGTAAGGACTTGATCTCAAATAGTTGAAGACCATACCATAATCATTTGAAAGTAGCTGCCTTAAGTCGTCTATTTTGTTAGTCCTGACATACTTACATTTCCAAAAAAACAGACTATAATGCTTTCGAGGTGTGTGTTAAAGGTCCCATGTCATGGCCATTTCTACTGATCATATTTCCATTGTTGAGATCTACTAGAATAGATTTAAATTGTGCAATGTTCCAAACTCACATTGGTTTCTCATACAGCATCTCTGTATAGTATGTGTATTCACTCTCTGTCCTACACGGCTTGTTGGAGCTCCTGCCCCCCCCCCTCCCTGTGAGCCCAGTGTGCTCTGATTGGTCGGGACGTTGCAAGGCTCGTTGCTGCGAGGAGCGGACAGGTTTCCGGGTCAGCGATACAGCGAGACACAGCGAAACTCATCCTGAGCACACACAAACACTCACANAACAAAACAATATAACGAAAGGAGGAATCTTAAACTAAGAGCTATATTAAGTACTGATAAACACCAAAACAGTTATTCATATACAAATATTACATGTGTTACATACACACTTTTTAAAACACAGTCAGACAACTCACGTGTTTCTTATGTTTATTAGAAGCAGCATATAGTTTGAGTTTGGCGTCTAGGCTCGGGCCTCATCACTCCACAGATTTACAAAGAACATGAGTGATGATTAGATAACTATCCCAGAGCCTACAGGTGGAAGCTGGGGTAGTGGTGGGGCAGGCAAGTAGCATCAACATGACACACAGCAGCAGGAACATGAACGCAGCAATAGCAAGTGAACACAGCAGTGCAGCAGCAGCGTAGCGAGGCAGAGCCAGGAAGACCTGGCAGCTTAAATAGAGCGGCATGTTTAGGAGAATGTGTTTGGTTGGTTGTAAGAGGGACGAGGTGTGTCACGTGTTAATGTATCATTGGTACTCGAGTTGACTGCCTGAACTAGCTCGCAGGCTTCGCCCCATATAAGGAAAATGAGACTTATGAATCACTGTAAAAATGATGTGTGCTTAATACCAGAGTAAAATCAGGTCGTAAAGCTAGAAGTAGAAAGTAGGTACAGAAAAC